ATCACCTATGTGATCTTCTTGATGTCATACCGCAGCTTGTCAGGTCTTCTGTCATTAGTTCAATGAGTCAAATCTGTCCTTGAGGTGTTCTTGAAATTCAGGTGGGATAGGCTCAAGGTCATACTTTCACTCTCATGGTCTTTTAAAAATTGTCTTCACAAATGGGTGAATAAGCAAATGTGGTGAAGAAAGCTGATGGTGCCCGGCTATCAAAAGACAAAGCATCTGGGGTCTTAAAGGCTTGAAGATAAACAAGTGGCTATCTAGCTGAGAAGCAACAAAGCCCACATGGAAGAAGCACACTAGCCTATGTGACTATGAGGCGTCGAATGTATCAGGTATCAGGCATCCCAGAACAACAGAGGGGGAGTGCAGAGTGGAGATCCAAAGCCCATCTGTAGGTAACGGGACACCCTCTTACAGAAGGGTCTCAGGGAGGAGACCAGCCAGTCAGGGTGCAGTATAGCAACAATGAAACATACAACTTTCCTCTAATTCTTAAATGCCCTCTCCCCCGACTATCATGATCAAAATTCTGCCTTACAAATCCAGCTAGACCAGAAGATGTACACTGGTACAGATAGGAAACAGAAACACAGGGAATCAGGACAGATGATCCCTTCAGGACCGGTGGTGAGAGTGGTGATACCGGGAGGGTGGAGAGAAGGTGGGGTAGAAAGGGGGAACCGATGATAAGGATCTACATATAACCTCCTCTCTGGGGGACAGAAAACAGAAAAGTGAGTGAAGGGAGACATCAGACAGGGTAAGACATGACAATATAATAATAATTTATAAATTATCAAAGTTACATGAGGGAGGGGGGAGCAGGGAGGAAGGGGGAAAATGAGGAGCTCATACCAAGGGCTTGAGTGGAGAGCAAATATTTTGAGAATGATGATGGCAGCGAATGTACAAATGTGCTTGACACAATTGATGTATGTATGGATTGTGAAAAGAGCTGTATGAACCCCCAATAATAAAATGATTTAAAAAATTGTCTTCACCTTCAACTTTAAGTTACATATGTGAAATTGATGGTCTGTTCCACAGTCAGCCCCTGCCCTTGATATTAAGTTTCTCCACTTTTTCTTCCCACAGATGTAGTCTGTTTGATTTCTGTGCATTCCAATGGAGAAGTTATTGGTCTTACAAAATTCTATCATGTGATATGCAGCTTCTTCTTTTTTTATTATCACCAAGGCTATATTTTCCTACTACTATTCCTCTGTTTCTAACTTTGGCATTCCAATTGCCAATAATTATCAATGCATCTTGAGTACATGTTTGATCAATTTCAGACTGAGAACATTGGTATAATTTTTCAACTTCTTCATCACTAGCATTAGTGGGTGGTGCATAAATTTGAATAATAATTGCATTAACTGGATATCCTTGTATGTATACAGATACACACACAGGCAGCATTTACACTTCAAGATTGATCTTGAAATATTATTTTGGATGATGATTGTGAGGCCGTCCCTTTAGAATTTGTTTTACTTTTGGAATAATAAACCATATGAGTGTTTGATTCAAAATGGCCAGTTCCAGTCTATTTCAGCTCTCTAATGCCTAGGATCTCAGTCTTTAGTTTTTGATTTCAATTTTTAAGACTTCAAATTTTCATGTAGCTATGTGCATCCCACTTTTAAATATTAATAGATATTTGCAGCTGTTTCTTCTCATTTTGAGACATGCCTCATGTGTTGGGCTGGGTTGACTAGAGAAACAAATCCAGTGACACTCACATATGTGTAAGAAAGAGCTTTATATCGAGAAGTAATTGTAGATCAAGAAAACATCCCAGCCCAGTCCGAGGCAAGTCCATAAGTCCGAGGCTCATGCAGCCATATGCAGTAACGCAGAATCCAGGAAGAGCACAGGCAGCCGACTGCAGTCATGAGGATCCCAGGTCAGTGGAAACCTGCAGGGCTCCGGCAGCTCTCAGGGTGGCTAGCAAGCAGGACAGTGAAGAGAGAGCTTCAATGATTAGAAAAGAAAAAAAAAAGATATTAGACTTATTAAAAAAAAAGTGG